TGTCATTTTGAAACTATGTGACGCCAGCAGCGAGGAAAAAACATGTACTTTTGACGCCTGTGGACCTGCAGTACTAAATTTTCCGTAGGGTAAAAACACTTGACGCGACTTTGTACAACGTTTATCTCTTGCGAAAACCGACGTGGTCAGTGTGAATACATGTCATACGTGTCCGCCTGCATTTTGATCTCTCTCTATCTCTCTCTCTCTCTCACACACACACACACACACACACACACACACACACACCACTACTGGCATGGGTCCACGCATATCAAGGTATTTAGCGACCAGGACGGGTGGAAAGATCCTGTATCGCGTGTTCATTGTAATTATTCTTAATTTTACTCGTCATAACTCTGGCCAGCCATACTAGAGGAATAGGCCTGCCAGAGGACGCGAGGTGCTGGAAGTCATAATGCCAGATCAAACAAACTTGATTTGTACAAAAAGGTGAATACTAATTAAAGCGGATATCTCGGGGGGATATTTTCCTGTGATGTCTTTTTAGAACAACAATTATAACTTTTTTACTGACAAGAAGGTTTGCAGCAGCTATTTTGGCGACAGAGGCGTTGATTGAATAATGATAGATCTTGGAATAAGCAGCTTACAGAAAGAAACTAACTAATGCTGTAGGTTGCTTATCATTTTGAAAACACTGAAAGAATAATATTGTACGTCTGATTTGTAAAATATATCACCCCTCCAAAATAGGTAAAACAAGTCACGGAAAAAGCTGAACTACATGTCCAAAAATAACAACAAAGACAACTTACAGTCACGATCATCTAACCACCATTAACATCCTTAGCCACACAGCCATGGTCTTGTCTTGTGTTATTCACCAGATAACAGAATTATTAAGGTCCTGTTAATAACTTAAGTAAAAATTGGTTGCAGTGGATGGAGCGCGGCGTTGGGCTTAGTCACTTCAGTCGAGTCTATTGATCCAAGTTCTACAGTTCCCTTTAGCGATAGTTTACCAGCATATGGCGGTTGGTTAAATTTTTTTCACCGTCGCTTTTCTTTTTCTGATGTGTTATTTACGCGCAAATGCCCACCTGTAAACAAAAAAACCGCAACATTTTGCAAGATAATGAACAAAGAAATACAGAAAATCCATAATAATGACAAAGAATGACGGTGAGAAAAGATATTACAGATCATATTTTTCGTTTTAATTTTTTTAAAGAAGTCTTTATTAAAAAGTCTCTGAAATTTTTTCCAACCTCTTTTTTTTGCATGATTTTTCTTTGTTTTGAGTTAAAACTATCTCAACTCTTTGTTCGCTTTCGTTACCTCTCATATGATCAATGACAGCAAAAAAAAAAAAAAAAAAAAAAAAAAAAAATGTAAAAGAAAGACAGGATAACTGGAAAAAATAAGGAGTGTCGAATTTTATATTTCATCGTATCACTATTCCACATATTTTCTCACAGTTTATATTGAGTGTATTTCATGGGTTTTGGGGAAAAAGGAAATCCTTTTAAGCGTCTGTCTCTCAAGGCAATTCTAGCCGAAATGCTCCGAGTCCTTGTTATCACAACTTGGCGTGAAAATTACAATGTCGACATATTTTTTCAAGTTCATTGATCATTTATTCCAGTATTTTATCAAATTAACTTAATATCTGATGACAGGTTTGTGCTTTAATTAGGATGTCGTCTGTCGATGACTAATTGGCTCCAAGATCTTGTCAGATTTCAAGGAAACTCCCTGAGTTTTTGTGCATTACCGGGATTAACGTGGAGTCGGTGAAACGCAGCAGTGTTAAGACTTAAGCTGCTTAATTCCCGTCAAGCACAGTGAGCTACTCATGCAAAAATCCGATTTGCATGGAAAGGGATTGCACGAAATTACCTCCGAATTTGTCTGACATGTCGTTTTTACTTTAATCCAATTTTTACCTTAGTTGTGTTTATATCTTTTCACCTTCTTCTCACGATTATTTCAATTTTTTCTTCAAAAATATTTGAACTATGCGAAATCCGCGTGCAACGTTTTAAAGGATTCAATCAAAGCAAATGGGAATAAAGAAGGAAATTTTGTACCCAATTTCAATGACCAGAACTATAAGATTTTCAAACATAATCCGCTGTCAAGTTTACTTTTTCACCTTGTATTGTACCAGTCTACGCTAATTTGATACCAAAATATAAATATAATTTCATATAACTCAAACCGTAATACATCACTGAAGTTTTCACTAAAATTATAAAGCAAAAAAGTACGAAAATTCATTCTAGAGACGTTTAGCAACGGAAGAAAAAACGCTCCCTTACCTCTAATAGTCGTTAATTCGGGTTATCGGCATCTGCAGCATCTGCACGGAGAGTGAACAGACGCGCTCTTTGATCAGTTATGATTCGATTTTTAAATCCAGCTTTTATTCTCTACCACAAGGCAAATTTAACTTTCTAATTACTGAAAATACAGACCCTTATTGCCTTGGTAACCAGCTGAGTCATTTTTGCACAATTTGCCATTTTGCTGGAAGGGGAGACGGTGGCTGTACACAGATCGATTTCACAGTAGGTCTATCAGTTCCAGAACTCCTCCCCAGCTCCTGTTTTGTTACTCATTCACTTACAAGGTTAATCTATATATCAACTCATCCTAATTCAACAAATACAGCTTCCATGTACCGCGATTATGATTCAGCTGGAATACACTGCATGTTTTCAAACTCGCGTTATATCTGATATACATCTGCCAATATCATCTATTCTATAAGAGGGGCATAGGGAAGACACGTTTTATACTTGCTGGGGTTTTGCCCTTATTAAGTTTTACTACTAGACCAGTTACAAGTGTATAACAATATATACATTTAGCTAAAATATTCTGATATAGCCTATCACTTTTTTAATCTTTGAGATAGACACATTTTATAAAATCCAAAATAATAGCCACAAACTAGGCCCTGTATAATACATCAAACAATACACGCAGACCTGATGAAACAAGGGGCACTTTCAGAAATAAACAGTATGCACACTTTGTAAATTTTGATCTAGACTGATCATGATAAGAAAAAATGCTAACAGCTTTGATATCTAGATCTTAAAGTTGTAAAGCATGAACGAACAGAGAACTTTAAAAGAAGCAATAATATCGACTGAGTGTCCGAAACCGAGTGCCTGAGCTCTATTCATGGCTTGACATGTAGCTTTTTGGTGTCATAACCCGTATAATTTATTATTCCAACAGAGCAGCTCCACGTGTGACCTGTACATGAGGTTAACATGAAAGCTGCCAGATTGCACTCGTATCTATTTTGTAATTGCTCCCTTCACATTATAAAACGTTGAAAGCATAGGTCTTTAAAGCTTGTTTTTGGTTTTCGTTGAGAAACTGGTATCATGTATACGCTATATCGACAATAACCACCACCCCTCTCTCTCTCTGTTTCGTTATCTGCCTTTCCTGGATAATCCCCTGCATTTGAGACGGAATGGTGTAGAAGTCCGAGCGTCGTTCGAAAAGTATGATTTATCATTTCAACAAATGCCAAAGGAAAACAATTTCATTTTGTGGTGCGTGCCTGCGGTGTTTACTTGTCGGGACCTGTATGCTTGTCAGTACCTAGTGTGTTGATTGTAATTTCCCAGTGTTTAATGTATCCTTGTATTTTTAACTAGAAAGTAGACACGATGATAAACACTTGCCAGTAGAATATGCGTTTCTCTGTAACAAGTTACATGTACGCTGACCTCTCTCTATAATAAATAAATAAATAAATAAATAAATAAATAAATAAATGAATAAATAAGGTAGGCGGGGGAAAACACCCGTTCTTTGCATTAACGTTATACACAGCCACCTAGAGCTGTGTATAAAAACGACAAAACTGGATTTAACTCAATTTAGTATTTTTATCGCTTTTACTTTCCTGAGAAGATGTCCCACAAAGAGAGTCTCTTAAAAAATCACTTTTTTGTGCCGTTTCCTAAATTTTGGATATTTAGGGAGATGCAGAAGTTAAAGGGCCTACTTGAATTGTTCAAAGCCTTCATTATCATGTGTTGAATGTCTTTTGTGAGGTCTATTTTCAAGGCAGAGAAAATTCAGAGCAGTCTACTCCCTAATTACTGTATAACCGTAATTGCAATAATTCCCTTAAAACTAAAGTGTTCTGCTCTCAAGTGTACATAGAGACCAGTCTGGATTTCAAATCCATTACATTGCTTAGAGCAGTCTTGTTCCACAATCCACAATAATTAAATATTATTTGGAGCTATACCACGTAATCCGTGGATACGTAAGACAATTCACGTAATGAGGAAGAATTAATCAGCATGGTCAAGGAATCAATGTGGACAGCCTTGGGGTTCACGCGACTTGTCTTAATCAGCAGCGAGCACGAACACCATTGATTAACCCTGTGAACTGACCCCTGACACATCTGATATAATGTGAGTAAACCCCATTAACCTTGATACATTGGGGGAGAAATTGAGCAACGCTTAAGACACAAAAATTAACAAGTTATTGTATTGATAAATTGATAATGTAAAGACAAATTCAATTGTATACTTAAATTTGACGAAGACGATGAATTTTTACGTCTATGTCCAAAACATAGGGCTGTAACTTACATCAAACAGTGGAGATATTTATCCCAAATTTAAAGAAGAAAAAAAAACTTCTGAGAAACCCTGTATTTTTAAAAGTTGTGAAGTCACATTATGCATAAGCAAATAAACGTGTATATGCACAAAGGCCTATTACAATATAGATTTACATTTTTGAAACTAGGCATAAAGCCCTGATTGGATTATGAGAATATGTAACACATGATAGTAACACATAACATTTTGTACATTTTTAAAAATAAAAAGCATGGCCCAGAACAGCTGAATTAATTGTCATTAAAATATCAGCTGAAAATTGAGCAAAACATAGACTCAGAATGCGGTAGGTGTGTTATCACCACAAAAATTGGTAGGTGTGTTATCACAACTAAAGCAATGTTTTTATTTAGCCTACATTTTATTAATAAGCATGAAGTAGGGCGTTGTGAGAACAGTTACAGTATGATTTGAGAGCACAATATGTGTGATAGAGAAAGACGCCGAGTTGCTGTGATTGGAGCTGGAGCGAGCGGGTTGACAAGCATCAAGGCTTGCCTGGAAGAAGGTTTGGAGCCAGTGTGTTACGAACAGTGCGGAGTCATAGGTACATGTACAGGCTGTTCAACTTCTAACCTGTTCAAATACAATTAGGCCTACAATTATTAGCTCTGAGGTCATCTCCACTGGTTTTAGCGGTAAAGATTTGATGTTATCCCATTGGCAAAAAAGTGTGAAATCATCGTGTAAAAATAAGAAAATTGTTTCACTAATTTATGTGAAAAGCAGAGACATTGCTCAAAGTCACCACGTAACCGAACTTAACAAACATTAAAAATCAAATTCCTACGTTCTAGTCCTAGAAGGTGCTATGGGGAGTGCATAAGCACGGCAAGTAAGTACCGAGAATTCATCTAATCTGCCATTATATACATGTACTTTGACCACTACGTACTAGTTCATTAATATACTGTCAAAATTATTGTATATTTTAAAAACATTTTCCATTTTGCTATATAAAGAAAACTAGGATATCAATATTGAATTAAAATCCCTCAATTTGAAATATTGGATAAGCGAGAATGAATTTCAGGGCTTAGGTGACATTGCTCACCTGTCCTATTCAACCTAAAGGCCTGAAGGGTCCATGACAAATGCGATTAGTGTGCTTTCAAAATGAATTTTAATTGCTCACTGCAATGTCTTTCAGCCTGTGTTGTTCATACTACATACATGTATATGTCAACTCTCCCAGATAATCCGGGAATCTCCAGGATACAGAACAAATCTCCCGGTCTCCCATATGGGTAACCAAATCTCCTGGATAAAAGGGACTTTGAAAATTTGAATCACTGTCAGTTGGCGTCCTGTATATATATATATATACCCAAATCAAGACAATTTCGGTTTTTAAAACTCACCTCACCTTGGGGGCGGGGAGAGGTGGGTTGAGAAAGTGGTCACTGGGTTTTCTCCATGACATTATTTACCCACATTGATTTTAACTTTTCTGCAACCAACTATTGCAAAGCAGAAGTATCCAAATAAGACATGAAAATAATTATGATGTTTTTTCCAGGTGGTTTATGGACGTTCACAGAAGAACCGAAGCCATACCAGGGAGGGGCAGTTTATGACTGCCTGGTGACCAATACCAGCAAAGAGATGACCTGCTTCAGCGATTACCCATTCCCCAAACATTTCCCCATGTACCTCACACACAGGCTGGTCAAGCAATATCTGGATGAATATGCCAAGCGGTTTGGTCTACTACAGCACATTAGTTTTAATACAAAAGTGTTAGCGGTAGAGCCTGCTCAAGACTACAATTCCACTGGGAGTTGGACCGTCAAGGTACAAAATGACCAAGGTGAAGTGATCACAGATACATTTGATGATATAATCTTAGCAAGTGGTTTCTTTTGGAAGGCTTGGTATCCAGACATTCCAGGCAAGGAAGAGTTTACGGGTAGAATAATGCATGCTAAACACTACAGGAGACCTGAGGAGTTCAGAGATAAAACAGTTCTCGTTGTTGGTAAGGTTAATGTCTTTAGCTTTATAAGATTTAACTAAATTGTTTGTATACTAAACTGTTGATATTGTTTACCTTCAGAAGAAATTGATATTTCCTATAACTTATATTCTCATATTTTAGTCTTTGAAGGTGATTCTTTGATTATTTAATTTAGTAATGCTTAAATTCAACAGGTAATAGCAACTCTGCTGGGGACATTGCAGTAGATGTTAGTCGGGTAGCCGAGAAAGTGAGTCCTTTTTTGGTAAACTCCTTCTAAAATATATGGAATATCCCAGTTGAATACCAGTGCTGTGACTGCAGTAAGGTCAAATACACACACAGCAGAGATAATTAAGGCTTTAAACTGCACCTTCTTCAAATAACTGGTCTTAAATTTGACCTTCTTATCTTGACACAGAAAGTAAACAGAAATATCTGTGCAAAAAAAATTACCCATGAAACTCTGAGTCCTTGGGGTGACCTGGCACATGGTCAGGTAAATATCTTTGTCAGTCATTGTTAATCAGGAAAATCGATGTGAAAAGTGCCTCAACAGAACAGAGAAAATCACATTGTTTTTAGTTTTTGAAATATTCCATACTATCTAGCAAGACTGTCTGCATTAAAAATATTAAAATAGAAATTGTTACTGATAAAAGAAGTGTTCAGAAAAGTGGCTCTCTGGCAGTCCCAAGTCATTGTGAATTTATGCACATGTTGGTTTTTGAATTTAAAAATAAGTATATTTATTAAGATATAAAAAATAAAAATTCACAGTCCATCAAGTTTGCTCTATTGTGTCCTTACTCTAGACACCTGTTACATAATTCAGCATAACGACTATGGACATATTTGTTTTCTCTTTGCAGACTTTTTTATCCATTGGAAATGGCACCTGGATCATGAACAAGGTCAACCAAGGACAGCCAGCTGACTTTCAGTTAAGACGCTTTCTTTCAAAAATGCCCAGCTGGTTAACTAAAAGAATAGCAAAAATTATAGCTCAGAGCCATTTAGACCACACTGCATTTGGTCTTCAGCCAGAAGTGTTGGACGAAGGGCCTCTGGATTTAACATCAGCCGTAATGTTTTGCGATGAGTTACCACTGAGTTTGGCAACAGGGAAGGTGGCTGTCAAACCACATCTAATCAGACTAGAGGGGAGTAAAGCCACGTTTGAAGATGGAACCTGTGTTGACAGAATAGATGTAGTGATATTTGCCACTGGATATAATCATTCTTACAGCTTTGTTGACAAAGTTTCAGGTAATTGAGAAACAAAGGTAAAACTTACAAAGCAAGGCAAAATTTTACACATACAATGCACATCAAGCCTCAATATAGGTGATAAAAAGGAGAAAGCATTTTCTTGGAATTTTTATCAATTTTCACTTCAGCAATAAGTTATACATTATCCAATCTTCAGTTCTGAATTATGTAAATACAGATTTAAAATTTTGTTGTATTGCTTCCTTTTCAAAATTTCATGTATGTATTACAATTTTCCAGTTGCTCTCAAGAACTTTGACTTATATAAGCTGGTCTTCCCCACCGACTTGCCCCACCCCTCCCTAGCAGTGGTGGGCTGTGTGACTACTGCTGGACCTGTGTTTCCTGTTGTGGAGCTGCAGGCACGTTGGGCGACAAGAGTGATGGCTGGAAGGTGTGTTCTACCAAGCGCTGAAGTTATGAAAAGAGATGTTCAAGTTATGCAAAAGAAATATGTCCAAACCGATAGGAGCTCTCCAAAGATGAAAAAGGTGAATTTATTTTTATTTTCAAAGCATGTTTGCCTCATAAAAAAAAACGTGGAGTTATTTTTTTTTTAAATTTGGAGCCTGGTGAAAGCGTAGTTAGCTTTAATGCAAAATTGATATCTTTATTTAAGATAAGACCTCCACCTCTAGATGTCAGTGTGGTATCTAAAGATGGAGTAGCTATGTTTATTACAAGACCACTACATTAATGATATGTACTCTTGTTCCTATAAACTGGTCTCCTCTGACATAAAGAATGAATTGAAATGGATTGTTTGACAAGCAGAAGTTTTCTATATTTTCAGGTAAATAATTTAGTTTTAAGAGATGACATTGCGGAGCTATTGGGAGTTGGAACATGCTTTTGGCGGCAGATATGGACAGATCCCGTCTTGGCCTTTAAGTGTTACTTTGGTCCATGTTTTCCCTACCAGCACCGTTTATGTGGCCCTCATACATGGGAGGGAGCACGAGATGCAATCTTTTCTGCTTGGGAAAACACATACTTTTCCTTAAGGTCTGGGCTTAAGAGTCCCAATCAAGAGAGAAAGTATCAAAAGGAAACTTTTATTTTTCTCCTTTTACTTGTGGCAATAATAATGCTGGCATGGTTTGTAAATATGGTAAAGAAAGAACAGTTTCCATGAAAAAGAAGCTGATGTATGATATTTCCTATGCAACTAATATATACACATATATATATTTGCTGAAAATATTTTTACCCCAAGTAAATAACACTTTTTATAGACAGACACAGTGTGTCTGGCGTCACTGAAAGAGAGCATTAGTTTATTTCATTGTACCCCTATACTTGAGGCTGTGATAATAATAAATAGAAAACAAATTTTTCAAAAGAAAGTATTGCTTATTGCCTATGTGTTACCTTGTTAACTTACGGATGGTCTATTATCACCATAATCTGCTCGTTGCCAGTACTTTATCTTGACTGCAAAATTTGATAATCAACACAATAAAAACCATGTTGCTTATAATTTTCAAAGGTATAGGAATTATAGCTTGAAGTTATTTTAGTTTTTTTTTCTTGCATATTAATTTTCTACCAATTTGCATTCACAAGTTTGGCTTTGAATTTCTGTGGTACGGAAGCCATTGTTGAAATATACTGGTTGTCAACTATTAAATTTTTGTTGATGCCACTGTATGAAGGACATCGTGGGCTAAATCTAAGAATTTGAATAAAATACGTTTATGTGAACGTACTGTGCATTACAAATTATGAAAACATTATCAGTTGTGTCTTTGAAAAGCTACTTTACTGTTGTCTTATGCAGTGGATTCTTTTATTGTATATCCTGCTATTACATATAAGGTCATCAGTTCTGCAGAAAAGGAGAAAATAAAGTAAGTTTACTGTAACCGATCACTTTCCAAAAGAAACTATCTGCCCCTTTGCTGTGCTATAACATACCAAATGCACATTTATTAAAGATAATAATAATTTTACAGTGAAAAAAAAACAAAAAAAAAAAAAAAACGGACGACTGGAAATAGCGCAAAACGCATCCATAGAATGCGGTAGGACTGTTACCACTACTAACGCACTGTTTTGGTGTCTGGGCCAGCTAATATTCAGTGAATATAAGGCCAATGTCGTATCCAAAATATTTATCTACATTTATTTTTCCTCGCATTCGGCCTTTCTTTACTTCATCCCCACTGCAGGAGAAGTAATTAAAAGACATCACTCTAGAGCCAGTCAAAACCGAACAAAATGTGTGATCAAGAAATTGTAGTAAATGGGGCTGGACTTAGGGGGTTGACTAGCACCAAGGCTTGACTGGAAGAGAATTTGGAGCCAGTGTATTACGAACAGTGCGGAGATATAGGTAGGGTATCATTTTATATGATAAAAATTGTCCACAGGTTAATTGGTCTGAAATTTGAAACTAGCGAAATTTACTTTAAAAGATTACCATCATTAAAAAATGGTGTTGTTGTTGTTTATATAGTGAATGACATCAAGTTATGGTGTTTAGGACTGGATTGAACAATTTACATGCTAAAATAAAATTGCGGCAAAGTGCAAAGTCAGATTTAATTGTCCACAGGTTCATTCGTCTGAAATATTGAAAAGTACTCTTTCGGTCATTTTGTTGTAGCCATCTTCGATGGAAGCCGCTCCGCTTAGCTGCTATAAATCCACGTTCCACTACGCCCACTTCATTTAGTGGCACTTAATTGGCACATTTAAAAACCGAATAAAATTTTTGAATTTTTTAAACTAGACTTAGACTAGGATCTCTGAAGAAGACGCTCTTTATGCAGGAAGTATAAGGGGAGAAAAGAAACTCGACCATATGCAGTTATTGGTTCTATCAAGTACTAAAACAGAGTGGCCAGAGACTTTTATCTTATGCATATTTGGACCTCGTACGAAACCGAAACTCCATATATTAATAGATAATGTAATTTTCATTGTGTCCCTGTCTTTTAAGGCCCAGAAAATAACAGGCCGAATAGTCCACTTTTTCGCGAAACTGTCCACATTTTCACGAGCGCCTGATATTTAAACGTGAGTTAATTAGAACTGAAAGTACCAGTTTTGTTCGGCCCTTAGCTATTTCTACCAAAAAGATACCACTTAACTTATAATGCGTGAAACCTACGCATCTCTCCGTCTGCAACAGAGTCTGACCAATCTGCCCAGCTAACACGGAACGTTTTATAACGTTACCACCGGATTATATTATATTATGGCAAGACCATCACCAAACAACAGAACGCTCTTCTAATGTTTTATACTATCACTGTTGTTATCACTGGTCTTAGAACCGTTGCCAGCACTTTTTTATGAACGTATATATAAATTTTACTGAAACTAATACATTGTACATTTTTGTTTAAAAAAAAAAAAAAGAAAAAAAAAACATACATTTAGGAATTTCATATTTTCCATCACTACAATTTGCACAATGTATCATCACATCTGAACGTGTTTAAAGCGTTCCCACAATGTTGGACCTCAAACCTGAACTACGCCTAGCGGCTAATTACAAATCGCATGTAATTATTGGGGTCGGTTTTAGTCGGCTACTTGAGCGGTGCGGACTTGAGAACCTTTGGACTGTCGGGACCTACCCGAAATAACAGACATGTGATTAAAAGCTTATAAACTATTACACTTAATCAATAACTCGTTCTAGAGTTAATTAATTTTGGGAAGGATTGAATAGACATCAATACTCTAAATAAACTTCATCAAAATGTTTAAAAAGATGTTTTAAAGTAGCCTTGATAGTTGTTTGGTGTTTATGGCGAACTAATGAATTTTTTTCACCCCGTTTCACAAAAAAGATTCTTATAAACTTGCTCGCAAAGTCAGCTAGCCTAGGAGTGAATATATTCAGAAGTGGAATGCCTTCAGGCATGGACCTAATTAGAGAAGGACAAGTAACGCGGCATCTTCCTTTGAAGCTATGTGCGTTCGGGTAAACATTCGCCTATTGTCTCACATAATCTGTTTTGATAGCTCCACGGGCGTCTGAACAGCTTATTATCAAGGTAGCGCGCGCTGTGCTTCAGTGCATTTCTATTGTTTCTCTGCATTGATAACGCAATTTCTCGCAGTCCCTCGTGGTTGCTATGATACACCATTGCCGCCATCTTGCAGTTGCGAGCACACAGGTTTCCGTCAACTCGTGGAAATTTATTGAGGGGTTTTCGGCATTTTTCCCCGTTACCTCATTAAAAAGGGGGTTTGAAGTTTGTCTTCAATACCTCCTGCCTTTCCCTGTCCGTGAGGTAGTCTCTGACAGGACAGGAATACGCACCCAACGACCGGAAATCTCATTCCTACATGTACCAGTAGCTGTGACACCCCGGAAGATCAATCAAATTTACACAAGAACTGACTGCTGGTGAATCAGACAAATTAAAAATGGGCCTTTGTAGCATGTTTGTGAAATTATATATTACCATTAGGGGCCACTCATTTCGCAGACAGCTTAAAGAAAAGTACCAAGAATCTGTGTCTGCATCTACGAAAGAAAAAGGATTGAGAAAGTCTCTCAAAAGGAAGAGTAGAATTACAGCTTGAATTATTACCTAGATTTTCAACAAACAGACAGTATGATCTTGTGCATTTATAACATTTGAGTTTTTTCACTTAGCAATTAAGATCTTAATTAGAAATTTCATCTAGGTTTACATTAATTTTAATTAGTTATTTAAAAGTCAGATTTGTCGTATTAGTTTGGTAGAAAATAATACACCAGGTACCAAAATATGCCTTTCTGTTTTCAGTAACTGAAAAGCAGTCATAATTCAAGAACTTATTATAAGTATTTATAATATTTGGTTTTTCAGTCAGCAACTATCTTTCATTTATATTCCTTTTTATTTTTCATTAAAAGTTACCCGTTTACAATATGAGATTAATTTCACCAATACTGATCTTATGGTAATAAAAAATGCATATATTGGACATAAAAAATCTTCTTTTTAATTCTTTTCACTTCCTTTTTTTTTTACACAACTTAATATATTATAATAATAAAAGATTTGACAAATAAGACGCATATCACTGCAAGAGGGTCAAAGTCAAATGTGAGTATGAATTTTATCAGGATCAGATTTTTTAAACCTGTAGTTAGTGTATTCTGAGGTAATTGAATATGCAATTTCAATCAAGCAAGAAAAAACTGTCTAAACATATAATCCATGTTTTTTACATTTCATTTTTTTTTTCATCATAAGATAGCAAATATAAAACAACTTGAGTACATTCCAATATTTATTATTAAAAAAGTAAACATTAAAAATGCTTGTTACAAAGCTAGTGATGATGAATATACAATACATGTGCAGTTTTCTTGTCTTGTCTTTTTTTGTGAAAGTCATGTTGGAGTTCTTTCCTATTTGTATCACGAGTAGTATTAACTTATTCATAAAAGGTATAAACTAATTTCTTATTGACCTATGTGAATTATTGTCCAAATGTTTAATTAGTGCGTCTCCTCTTGGGCAATGGTGCATTGTCTTATTTTAACTTTCCGGCATCTTGTGAAGAGAATCTGGAAGAGAATAAGAATGTTTTTATCACAAACTACTATAAATGACAATTGCCTTTTTTACTTCTACTTGGACATTTGAGCCACAGGTTAGCCTTTTCAAATGCATCTCAAGATTCTACCTATCAGGTAGATTTTCCCTCTAGTTAAATTTACTTCCCTTGTTAGGCATGGACTTTCTAGATCATTATCAGCCAGGTAACTAAACCGTCTGGCCCTTTGATGATTTGATAAAGCCAGCTAGGTGCTATCCAAAGGCATGTCTCAGGATTATTTCAAAGATTTCAAGCACCTGATAACAAGATAATGCAATGTAGCAAGGTAATTACAGAGGTGAGACTCTTATCACAAATGTGATCAAGATCTACTTTTATGACCATTACCCAAATAAATATAGTCAGGAACTTTGCATTCGACATGTCCACATATACACTTTCACTACANGCAGTTGTACAATTTTAAACACTCATTTTACGGTAACAAACACGATTGCCTTCACCATATTGGGCATTTTGAATTCCTCCATGAACAAACATATCCTTATTCTCATCTAGCATCCAAAATAGCAAAAGAAATTGTACTTACATTTTATTCAATAAGTGTCTTGACTCATCCACCCGAACGTTTTCCTCGCGTTATCACCAGCTACCTGTCCAAATGACACAAAAAGTCATCAACAGCCGCGATATGCTCGCTACCTGTACGGGAGGTCACGTGATCCGAACGCACATCGTTTCGCGAAGAGCTCGCGCTAAGCCGATTATCCTTTGATCTTTCTCCGCGTTACTTGTCCTTCTCTAGTTAGGTCCATGCTTCAGGTAAGTGAATTACGTCGAATAGTTCATTATGATAATCGTGATGGGGAGGGTCCATTCCATTTGAGGGGTGTCAGGTGGGGCGATTCCATTCCATTCGAGGGGTGTCAGGTGGGGTGAGTCCATTCTATTCGATAGGGGTGACAGGTGGGGCGAGTCTATTACATGCAGGGGGTGACAGGTAGGGAGAGTCCATTCCATTCAAGGGGTGTCAGGTGGGGTGAGTCCATTCCATTCAGGGGGTGTCAGGTGGGGCGAGTCCATTCCATTCGGGGGGTGTCAGGTGGGGCGAGTCCATTACAT